TATATATATATATATATATATATCCCTCTCTGCCTACGGTTTACCGGGCAGTTCTATTTGACGATATATATATATATATATATATATATATATATACAGGGTGGAAGCCGCCGCTGTGATTTATTATTGGGCCTAGTATTATGGGCTGCTTTGTTTTCGCCTACATAGCATCGTGTTTGCGTTCGGAGGCGAACGCGAACAAGCGCCCAAAACCCTCCGAACGCGAAGTTAAATAAAAAAAAAGAAAAAAAAAGTATTCTAAGAAAAATGTGAAAACAATATATGTTCTGGAAAATTACAATACAAGCAACGTTTGCCTTGGAGTCATGTTCAAATTCGTAGCAAATCATGAGTTAAAAATAAAGCACCAATTTTTTTATTTTTATTTTTTTTACGAAAAAAATTATGTTCGCCCGAACATGTTCATAAGCTGTTCGCGTGAACGTGCGAACACGTTCGCGCCAACATGAAGGTGCGAGAACACATTCGCAGTGCTACGCACGTTTTCTCAAGGTGTTGGAATAAAGCTTTTGATCCGTGAAACTATGCCTCCGCGTGTGCAGGTGCATTGAGGGTTTCCCGGATCATACTATGTGGCATGAATATGGAACGCCAACACTCTCCTATGGTTGCACCGACGTCGCTGAATTCCTCGTTGTTTCTAACTCCTTCGGAGTTTGCATCACCGTCCGCCACACACACCTCCCTGGAAGGCTCTCCATTGCACCACGACATTTCGCGCGGTAGAGGGTGAGGACTTTTAGATCCGCGCGGACGTAGTCGAAGCGATGCTATATTGGCGAGACCAGCAACCTGGCAGCGTTTGGACGACAGGATGGCGGTCGTCCTGTTTTCTCCTATTGCGAATTCGACAACCGTCACACATACTCCTTTCCCGAGTCATCTGCGCACTCTCATTGCGGCAATTCCTGCTTTCCCCACGTTCTCCGGGAATCCCATTTCGACTTCTTTTGCGCAATCCGCTGTGGTTCCAATGCGCCCTCCGCTTTCATCTCCTCTCGAGTTTCTCGCTGAGGTGTTGCCGACGCCGCTCTCTGCAAGTGATTCCATCGATGGGTTTCTCACCATCGTCGAGACCCTGCGAATGCGGCTGTCCGTGCCGCATTGGATGCGCCTCTGTCTTCAGTTCCTCGACCACCGTTGTTCCACTACTCGCCCCCTGACATCACTGGTGGGGTTCCTAGTGCGGGTATCATTGCGTCGCCCCCCGTTTGTCGAGCAGAAGAGGTGCAACCGCTGGACGACACGCTGTGGCCAGCGTCATGCACTCCTGTCTCGACGGACCATGCACCTGATGGCTATGTATCCCCCCCGACGGCGGACAGGCGCGGCCAAGTCCGAGGCCGCGGCCAGTCCTCGAAGCCCGCGGACGTGTGGAGGCCGCAGGGGAGGGGGGTTCCTCATTCTGACAGCGCCACATGGCGGCGCATCCCCTGCCTCACCCCCCCCCACAAAAAAAAAACGAAAAAGATGAATTTTTCGTGGCGGGGGTATGGGCGAAATACAACGAAATTGGAAAAAAAAAAAAAAACGCGTTTTTTTTTCTTTTTCTTTTTTTTCGTTGATTGATTGATTGATTGATTGATTGATTGGTGGGGGCGGGGTCGCACCGCCCCACCTTTGATTCATTGATTCATTGATTGATTGATTGAGTGATTGAGTGATTGAGTGAGTGATTAAGTGATTGATTTTTTTTTATTTTTTTTTTATTTTTATTTTTTATTTTTTTTGATAGATTGATTGATTGATTGATTGATTGATTGATTGATTGATTGGTTGGTTGGTGGGGGAGGGGTCGCCCCACCCCCACGACCACGGGCACACACACACACACACACACACACACACACACACACACACACACACACACACA